AAATAAATTTGGTGAAATTAAGTCGTACATAGGCTAGGAACATTCCCTGATAATTTCAGCTTCCCATCTTTACTAATTCCCGAGTTAGCCATTTTTCCGCCGAAAAATCTCACTGGGCCGTACGTGGAAACCACGCGCACTTGGAGGCTGAATTTGAAATCTTTGAGTTATATTCGGACGGGGAACATAGCCTCAAAATTTCAGCTTCATATCTTTTCGCGTTCCTGAGTTATCAATTTTCCTGCCAAAACTTTCCTCCTCTCGTACGCGGGGCCTAGGCGTGCTTAAGGGATGGTACCGCGGTTCTAGGGTGGTACTTGGCCGGGGTACCCATTAGCAAAATCTCGGCGCTGGAACTTGCTTGGTTGCCGATTTGAAATACCCGGACAGACGAACACACACACACACACACAAACATACACACACACATACACACACATAAATACAGACACAGACGGGGTCGTCTCAATATGCGTTTTTGCAATTTGCATATAGGCAAAAACGCATAATGAAGGAGAGTACGAATTTGACTGGAAAATATGCGAACTTTTCTGATTCGCTAGAAGAATGGAATGAGCTGTCTGCATTTCAAAGGCAGCGTGCGTGGAGGAAAATTTGCATTGAGAAGGAAGATGCAAGTGGAGTTGCGTCTAGTACTTCTCTAACACATGACGTTTCATACGTGTTTGCGTAGTTAAGGTTTTCCGGTGTCGTATTTCAGTTATTTCCAGGAATAATTTTTCCGCCTCAGCTGAGGAATGAGTTTACCGAAAAGGAATTGGTGCGCATGTGCAGTACAGCGGAAATCCTGGCACGAGACGGACTTCTTTCACACATCCATGGGCTTGGTTACGCGGTGAACACAGAGAAAGCAATTGCTACTAAACTGTCGCAATGATTGCTCAACCTTTTTTATCCTTTTAACACAGGGAAATTGCTACATATCGGAACTGATGTGTTCAAATGCTTTTAGTTAGCGTGTCGACACTACAACTGGGTGTTAATGCATTTGTGCTAAAAGCGCAAAAGGGGTCTCTGCGAACATGCGCTGAGTGTTGCAATGCATTTAAAAGAAGTGGACGATTACCTCCAATGCAGAGGACAAAGAAATCGTATTCACAGGGGCGCATTTTTCATTTAAAATTGCAGGTGTGCTGTTCCTCATGCATTCGCGGAAAGAAAACTGTCGCAGGGCCAGAAACCAGGTAGAAGAAGAGGTACGCGCCTAACTGCGCGTGTACTAAACCGCGAGATTCATTCCATGCAACCACGGCCTTTACCATGTCAATATTTGAGGAACATGCTGAGGAATGCGTAGATCGCAGCAACCTGCTTGAAAAGTAGTGCATTCCGCTGCTCGGCGAACACGCTGCTAGCAACCTCTGATGTACCGCTTAATGTATTGTTTTCAGTTACATGCACTGGGAAACACGGTGAAACAACGCGGTCTGGAAATTTCTGAAAAATCGGCTGCGCTATCGCGCCATTTGTGATGTACGTGATACATGATAAACTACTACTAGTAAAATGCAAATTTCAATAAATTTTCTTTTTAGTGTTTGCGCCACTGCGTTTACGGTGCTGCACCATTTACATTACCAGTTATAAAATATTACTGCTATCACCTGTTCGCTCATATCCATCGTTCTGTTTAAAAATACAAATAATATTCCATGATTTTTTTTACACGTATATTCCAGCTCCCCCGTTGGCGCTTATGAAGGGACGATAGCAACAATGTACAACCATCCGTACGTCCTCCGCTAAGGTTACGCCAGCCTACGACAAATTTGTAAGCTTTTTTTTTGCCCAATACAGCAAAATAAGCACATGGAGCACGGGTTGCCTTTATCTGTGTGTGCGTGCGTCCGTGTCTCTCTCTCCTTTTCTGGCATTTCCCGCAAATAGCGCTGCCGTTGGCGACAAAAAACTCGGGGAAGTGTGCAAAAGCCCCTTTCCTGCGTACGGTGCCGATTTTTTGCACGATAAGCACGCACACTGCGCACCACGTCACCAGAACTTCATCATCCTGCACTTCCTGCAAGGGCAACGTTGCCTCACTTTCTTGGCAAGTTGCCAAGAGTGTTGCCAGAGATGGCAGACACCTCATTGGGGGCAAAAAGCACCGGCCGAACCGAGCCGAGCCGAGACGAGTTTTAGTAGTTGCCCTTTTAACTGTACTGCTCGTGCTAAATGTAGCTACAATATCAAATAAAAAGAACGCTTCAGGTAAGATTTCGAGAACACAGATCTAATGTTGAAAAAGGAAAGTCTACAAATCTGCTTTGCTCACATTTTTATTACACTGGTAATCACTCTACAAAGGATGTGTAAATACATATATAAAAACTGTTGCTAATGTTAAAAACCTTGTTAATACAGAACATTTTTGGATACAAGCACTACATCCTCTAGGTCTAAATGACAACATTAAAGGTTTCAGCAGTGTTTCTCATTTGGATAATAATTTGAAATATATCCCTTACTTTTCTTTAAAACTACTACATATACCACGAAGAAACGGAAGAAAACGACGCACCTCAAAATTTATAAGTCGCAAGTACATTAACTATTGTCTTACAAATTTTCGATACGATCATTTATGGTTTAGCTGATTTCTCTCACGAATGCATATTAAAAAAAAAAAAAAATACATTAATTGCCGTTTTTGTTACATTAAATTGTAATTTAAATAGATTATACTTCGTACGACCTATATTGCATTCTTATGTTCATTGTAAATTCAATAGTTTTATAGACGAGTGGAACAAAGACCAAGTATTTAGTATTACTTTACAATATCCTGGTCTAGTCTACGGTAGTATTAGTAACAGTTGTCTTCAACAGGTTGTATGGCTTACTGTACTTCATTTTCTATCCCTCCCTTCATCTCCTTTTCGTTATCAATCCCATTATTTCGCGCTTTCTTCCCCCTTTTCTTCCGTCTTTGCATGCTTTTACTGTTGTGTTGTTGCGTCTACATGTTCTTGACGTGGATGTAACCGCTGTGCGCTAAATCAAAATTATGGAGCAGCTTTTTGGCTGCTCCAACCACATGTGGCATGCTGCTTGGCGGTATGCAAAACCTTTCCGGTCATTAGACCGGTTCTTCCCTCTTCTGTTTTCCCTTTAGTCTAACGTGCTACGTACTTTCCAGGAGCTCTCCACCATCAAGAATGATATGAAGCGAATTGAGAACCGTCTATTTAAAAACGAGGTGCGATTGGATGACACGATCCGTACAGTGGAGGCCAATGAACGTGTACAGCGTCCCCTGAGCCTGCGCGTGTACGGCTTTGACTTCTCTCGGTGCAAAGTAGGCTGACGATCCGGATAGCTTCGACGTCGTTTCTGCCGCTGACCTTCTTCGGCTTCTCATGACGGATGGTCAGTGAAACCACTTGATTTTACTTTGGAGTTTTTCTAAACTGTTACGCCTAAACTACAGCATTTCACTGCATCGTTTACACACACCCATGTTGGCATGACTGTAGGCATGAAGATGAGCAAGACCGATGCGATCGCTGTCATTTTCCGTAAGTGCTAGTGGGTGGTAAACCGCTATATCCTGTGCGCCTTTGTTACTACGGATGATAAGCAAAAATTTGAAAAGGGAAGATATAGCCTCCGAGAATACTCCTTACGGACGTACTATCTCCATCAAGAGTGATCCGACAAAATTGCAGGTTCAACTTTATAAATACCTCTTTCTCCTTACGCCTATCCCGACCAGTCATTTCCCTTTTTATGCGTTTTGTGCTGTGTAACAGCAGTACAAAACGCATATTGTTACGGGGTTGTCTGTGTGTGTGTGTGTGTTTGTGTGTGTGTGTGTGTGTGTGTGTGTGTGTGTGTGTGCGTGTCCGCAGCAACTTGTCCGCAACTTTCAA